ATTGGTTGTGCCGGTGACAATAACGCTTGGGGCTTTTTTCCTGGGGGGACGCACCGGAACAGAGTTCCGGAACCTCTTCGACATAATTCTTTTTAAAATGTTCACAAGAAGAAGAGATTGGATTTATACCCATCCCTTCACTACCCAAGGGAGTCTCAGAGCGGCTTACAAGCTCCTTTCCCTTCCCCTCCCCACAACAGGCACCCTGTGAGGTAGGTGGGGCTGAGAGAGCTCTGACAGAAACTGCTCTTTTTCAAGAACAGCTCTTATCAGAACTATGGCTTGCGCAAGGTCATCCAGCAGCTGCAAGTGGAGGAGTGGGGAATCAAACCCGGTTCTCCCAGGTTAGAGTCCGGGCACTTAACCACTATACCAAACTGGAAAAATTCATGCGTTTTCAGTACACGGACTGAAAACTCCATTTCCCTCTTGAGAATCCCGGCGCCTCATTTAAAAATAAAATTTAAAAAGCCCTGACGTTGATTCAGGTGCAGTTGCCACCGCACTGGCAGTGTCTGTTCTCTCTTCCCCGGTGGATTTTTTAAAAATTGCCCCTTTTCTCCCCTTGCCCTTGGGGTTCTGATCTAAGGCTGGCTCCGCCTCCTGGGGCAGCCATCTGTTAGTTCCGCCCACAGCCTCATGTCGGGATTCGAAAGTTGCCCCGCGGGCTCCAAAAATGTTGGGGACCTCTGGCCGATGCTCCCTCTAAGCTGTGGGGGTCTCGTGAGCAAAAATCCTACTTTGTGAGCTACCGGCGTTAAAGTTGTGAGCCCACGATTTGGCTGCTGCGTAAATCAGTTCCTGAGCGAAGACCAAAAAGCGTGAATAGGGTTGCCAAGTCCTACCTCAGGAATAGCGGGGGGGAGGAGTCCTGGACGTCTCCTGGAGTCCCCTGGTGTGCGTGCCTTGCGCGCGCGCCGCGATCACGTCACCCGGAAGTGACATAATCGCATCGGGCACGTTGGCGACGGGGCCACAATCATTCGAGGGGAAACCATGGAGGAACGCCTTCTCACCTTGGAGATACGGAAGCAAAAAGCCGTCGCCTTGGTGTTGGCCTTTTCGGCGTCCACCACGACCAGCCCCTTCTCCTCGGTCAGCGCCAAGTAGTGGCCGGTGGTGACGTGACGGACGCGGAAGGGCTGGCCCCACTTCATGTGACTGCCGCTCCAGCTGTCGGGACAAGAAGCAGGGCTGTTGCTCAAAGAAATCGGGTACACTGCTGCGTTCCAGAGCGGCCCCTCTCCTAGGTCATGCGCCAAGCAAAAAGCAAGGCGCCGCACCCCTAGTTAATTTTTTAAATTATTTTTATTTATTTGGGATTTATATCTCGCCCTACCCAGATGGCTCAGGACGGCTGACAAGCGGCAATGCCGGATTTAAAAAATACAAACAGTAAAACAATGCTATATACATCGTAACATTCGGTGCTCTACTATTCTGCGTAAAATCCCCCAAGATGTGCAACATCCCACATTGACGGCCAGTTTTATTAAATGGCGTGAGCACCAGAGTAATATTTTCTCATCTCTGCCAGGGCGACATCCACCCCCCCCCCCAAGTAATAGGAGTAGATTATAAGATGGTATCTCAGTGGTGGAATAGTGGCGGCGGCGGCTCCTACTCAAAAGCCTGGGGGGCCCTGGGACTTCCAGGAGGTAGAGACTCCCCAATCGTAGTGCTCTTAGGGGAACTCACCGATGAAAAGCCGACACGAAGTTCGGAAGTGCGTCCGACGCCCGACCTACCTGATGCGCAAGG